ATATATATATATATATATATATATATATATATACCTGGTGGTGGGATTGCTGGATCATATGGTACCTTTATTTTTAATATTTTGAGGAACCTTTATGCTGTTTTCCATAATGGCTCTACTAATTTGCATTCCTACCAATAGTGTGTAAATGTTTCCTTTTCTCCACATTCTTGCCAACACTTATCTTTCATATAACCCTAACATCTTAATCCATGCTTGAAACTTTTGAACAGCTTAGCCACTGGCTTTCTTAGCAAATTATAGTGTTCAGGTCTGAGAATTCAGCAAGAATGACTCAGAATTGAAAATCTGTTTTCTAGAGTATATTCTCAGATAGGACCACCAATTTCATGGAGAGGAGTGGCAATGTTTGCTGTGGAAACCTGATAATATTGACCTAAAACCCTTCCATCTCCCAAGAGTAGCCAAAATGAGGCATGAGGAAAGGTAATGGATTCCACAATTACTCCTCTTTGATATGAAATCAATATTCTTCTTTGAAATTGTAGAAAGTCCTTTTGGTTTTAAGTATTATGGGTAAGTACATGAATCGTGGATGCTTAGATGCTTGTCAAATACAACATCAAGGAAGCATTCAGTGAAAGGCAATAGTGTGTTTATATATGTTTTCTCTTTTTTTTTTCCAGTGTAGCTTAGAAAAGCAAAGAAAAAGGAAAAAACAACTCCTTCAAAGCAAGAGAGAAGCATTTTACAGTTCTGATAAATGTATAAGGACCCAACCCAGAGAGCAGTGACTAGGTCCATAGAGAAGATAAGGAAAAATAGAAACTGTTTTTGCAATAATTGGAAAAGTCAAACAGACTACTAAGGCTGATACCTAATAGAAATCTTCCAAAAGAAAGAAACCTATGATATCTGATTTTACTGTTAGTAATATCCCTTCCTAAGGTGTGCATATAAAGCAATGTCTCCTGTAAATGTTTTACAGGAAGTTGCATCCGTTTCTAAAACAATTCTCTATTTTTGTGGAACATGTTTCAAAAATGTAGGTATAAATTGTCTGTTCATTATTTCCTTTAAAAGTCTGGGAGTGGAAGGAGGTCAGCTCATACCTTGGAGAAAAACACCTCTCCAGGTTTTGCCTACAGAACCACAATCAAAGGCAAACTGTTACCAATGGATCAGCAGTTTGGTCTTTGTCCTATTGCTCTCTACATCAAAAATCAACCACTGGGCAATGAATGTTACCAGGAAAGAAGGCTTTTTCAGGTGCTGCAGCCAAGAATGGGAGATCAGTCCCAAATCCATCTCAACTGACTAAAATTAGTGGTTTATAGAGCAGAGAAGAAATATAACTATGTGTGGGAAAATAGGAATTAGGAATGAGTAAGGAGAAGTTGGTTACAAGATGCAGGTAGTCCCTTAGGCAATCATGATGGGTGAGGGGTCTGGCCCTTATTGTCTAGATGTGATAATCTGGTAAGTTTCAGTTCCTTGACGCTATCTGGGAGGCCTCATGGTTGGTTTTCTGAGAAAAACTCAGATAAAACAATTCTGACTTTCTCTGATTTTAAGACTGGGAGGGTCAATGTCTATGTTTATTCAAAAGAAATCATAAACATTAGTTCTATGGGACACTAGGGCAAGTTTCAAAAGGATGAGATGATCTCATGAAACTGCTAGATTCGTGTTTCAAAATGAGAAAACAACAAATAGATTCCTCCACCCAACAATCACACAAAATCAATCAACAAACCTGTATGCTTCCTCCAACTGTAGCTCTTATTAAAGGAACATTCACATAATGAAGCTAGACTTTGGAGATGGATGTTATTCACAAAAATACAATTATGTCCATTAGACTCCACTTACCAAGGCAGGAAAGTGAACCTAAATACATTTTAAGTATTTCTCGCTAATTCTCCCTTATTGACTGTGGTAAGAATATTGGACTGAGACTAATATCTGCAGTAGAAAGGATGTGGAAGAGGAAGTGAGCAGAAATTTAATTCCTGTGTTATTCATATTCTGTATGACTCTGTTTCATGCTGTATCCACTTTGCATAGTACTATGGATTCATTAAGAAATTAGCAAACTGAATTTGTGCCTAAATGGCCAGTATACCCCAGGCTGAAAAATGTTTCTGTCACTGCTTCCCAGAATTGTTTAAAAACCTTTCTGACTGGCGGTTCTTTCTGGTTGAAATGGCCTGTTCACAAGCACTGAATTGAACTTGGGCATTTTGCCAGGGGTGTTGAAACTGAGGATATTTGGAGGCAACTCTTAAATGTAAGTTGCAGAGCTAGGAAGTGCCAGAACTTCAACAATAGGCAAAGTTGCTCTCTAGAACAGTGGGAGAATCAAAGTGTTATTCTGACATTGGCCTTTGCAGCTTTTGCCCCAGTGACTTTAAGTTTTGGAAGCTGGCAGTAGAGACACATGCAGAAACATGTAGGACTATGAATATGTGGATGAAATTATAAAAGCCCTAGTTGATTTTATTTCTTTAGTAAAAACTGTCATGAGAAAAGCACTAAACTGGAATCAGGTGCTAAGAACCTGGCTCTAGTCCAACCTGACTCCAGTCCAACCTGACTTCAGTCAGGTTCTTGTTTTACAGAATCGGACACTGAGAATCAGATCTTTTATTTGGTTTACTTAGGTCCTAAGATCTGGGTCTCAGTGTCTGCATCTGTAAAACAGCATGGTACTGTGACCAAAACACCAGGGGTTAGGCCCTCTTGCTTGGTACACAGAAAGCTAATCCCTAATACAATGAGTATTGCCAGGGAAGAAGGCTTCATTTGGGTGCTGCAGCAAAGAAGAACAAATCAGTCTCAAATTCATTTTAGCAATCAACTAAAATTTAGAGTTTCTATAGTGGAGAAGGAATGTAGCTACATACAGGAAAATAGGAATTTTAGGGAGGGTAAGGAGTCTGGCATCTAATTATCTTGTACCATCTGTTCCTTAACCAAAGGTCAGTTTGCTAGGGAGAAACTCAGATAAGGCAAATTTAAGTTGCAAATTTAAGTTTCAAATTTTCAATTTCTATATTTATTTATATAAGTAAATATTAGTTCTGTGGGACACTTGAGCCAATTTCAGTACCACTGGCAGGGCTAGGAAAGGCAAAGTCGTTACAAGCTAAACTCTCTTTTTATCTGCTTTTATTTCAGCAGTTCTCATTGAGATTTTATTTAATGAGTACATTCCAATGCTAAAATAACTTTGAAGACTTCCAGCTAGATGTGTTCTAAGGTCCTTTTGTTACTGAAATGCCAGAGGTTCTATCTAGGTCCTGCTGCTTACTGCATAGAAGGCCAGTCACTGAGACAATGAGTATTGCCAGGGAAAAAGGCCTTATTCGGGTGCTGCAGCCAGACAGCTAGGTTGTCAGTGTCAAATCCATCTCCCTGATGGACTAAAATTAAGGTTTTATATACCAGGGGAGAAATGTAACCATGAAAACAGGAATTACGGAGGGGTAAGGAAGAGGAATTGGTCAACAGGAAGCAGATGGTCCATTAGGCAATCACAACAGAGGAGGGATCGGAGGTCTCATTGTCTAGATGCGGTGATCTAGTGAGTTTCAGCTCCTTCATACAATATGGGAGTCTGCTGGTTGGTTTCCTGAGAAGGGAACTCAAATAAGACAATTGTAATTTTCTCAAATTTTAAGACTGGGTAAGTCAATTCCTATGTTTATTCAAAATAAACCAAAAACATCAGTTCTATGGGACAGTTCTGCTGGTTTCACTTTATAAAATTCTAATATTCTAAATGAGAATAACCAGTAGAAATACACTTAATTCTTATAAATCTATTAGTTTTAATTACTATTTTTTATTAAATTTTTATTAGTTGGTACAATATTTGATTTTGAAAACCACTTCATGTCAACCACATAAATGAGATTCTGTGAAACCCCCAAATACACATGTATAAATTTTAGGTACAGGCATATAGAAAGCGGGTCCAAAACCTTCATCAAAACCTACATGAAAGTGGTAAGAACACAAGTCATCTCCCACTGGCTGGGAGTCAAAAAAAGTCTAGATCTCAAGCTGACACAGAGTAAGAAGAATTGAAAGATTCTGTGGCCTCTATGATGTGACTTCCCAGACCTTCTCTCATAATCACATCCTTTTCTCAACATTATGGTGCCCATATGTATCTGTAACATAGTGGGCAGGAGAGGGGGAGAGGGAGTCAGCAGGGTCTTTGATGATTATGCAACATTACCTCTTAATAGTAAATTTTCTGATATTTGAAAGAAGCTGATGACAAATTCTTTGGCTTTCAATGCCAAACCTCCATAACATATTTTTGCTAGACAGAAAGATTCATGCATTCTTCACATTTAAATCAATAACTTTGTTAAGTTGGAGCTCTAGATGGCTCCTGGTCCTAGATGTAAGTTGTTTGTTTTAAAAGCCATATTTTACAAAAATTAGGAAGAAAAATAATAAAGAAAAATATAGATGTTTGCCTATTCAAAAACACCTTGCCTTCAAGGGCTCAGACAATGACTGGGTAAAACTCCATTAATTTTTTTAGTGCATTTTCAATGTTATTTTGTATGGAATATTTGTCTGAATCTTAGCATTATAATTCACTAGCAGACATTTCCATGGTCTTTAAAATCCTGACTCAGAGGAGAATAACCCACTGGGGAAAATGGAGCACCAAGCAGAGTCAGTAGGCAGGAACCAGAGGCAGTGATAAGAACTGTAATAGAACATTAGATGTCAGAGAGAAACCTCCAGGCACACTAAACCAAAGAATTATATGTAGGTGCTGGTTCCCATAGCACAGCAAAGCTGGGTTCTGAGGATGTTTATCCTTAATCCACTTCCATAGAAAAAAGCAGGAGTTCTTTCATAGACTGTATGCTAACTCAGACATTGTACACCAAGTAGAAAAACAATGGTTCATGAAATACGAACCAAAACACTAATTTCACTAGAACCAGGGTTTGATTCAGGATACTGTAAGAATTCGCAAATTTAACACTTTTAATGTTTTTTCATTTCAGATGCTGCACAACAAACATGTCATGGTCCGTGTGGGAGGAGGCTGGGAAACTTTTGCAGGGTATTTGTTGAAACACGACCCCTGCCGAATGCTGCAGATCTCCCGTGTGGATGGCAAAACATCCCCTATCCAAAGCAAATCTCCAACTCTAAAGGACATGAATCCAGATAACTACTTGGTGGTCTCTGCCAATTATAAGGCTAAGAAGGAGATTAAATGAAACAAGTTGGTCATGACAAGGGGACCCTATAATGGCCTGTATCTGCTTCTCCAGTATAGTCAGTTTAGTTCATATGCTCTGAAAACTGTTTTGGAGAAAGGTATAACAGACAGAAAAATGTCATCATGTTGAAAAATGTTCAAAGATTAGCGCTATTTATTTTTAATGCTTCTGTAGAATATGACCTATGAAAAGAAATTCTAAACTCAGATTTAAATTAGACAAATTTTAGGCAAATTATTTCTCAATATGTGAACAGTATTTAGAACACAAACAATATTAGAAACAATTCTAGCTAAAGATAAACACTATAAGGAGAAAACATTTAGGATTTGCAGATACGTCAACAGAAAGTGCCTGCTTTATGTCCATGAGTAAAAGCACCCCAGACATTTTTATAATTGCAGGATTTTTACGCTGTTTTTTTTTTTTTTAACAAAATGATGATTAGTGTGATAATGTGCTACCAAAAAAATATCCAACAGTACTACAAATAAGTACAGAGTATTCACAGTAGTAATACATTACTGGAAAGGCCACTTAGAAAAGTTTACATTTACTTGGAAGGTTGCCTTAAAGTATATCTCTTATCTATGACCAAATATCTGGGGTACTTTTGGAAGTTGTCAGTACACCCCCTTAGAGAATAGCTTATGAGTTATTTCACACATTCCTGAGCACATGGCTGTGTTTAGAATGACCTAGTATAATTCACACATGAGCTGACATACGTTGATATTTTGAGTAAATTGTACAGTCAACTCTTCATTGATTTCATGTTATTTCAAAGCATTTTCTTATTAAAAATATATCTTTAGTTAATCCTATTTTGCTATGCTGTCTAGTAAATTCACTGTAGCTAATGATGTTACAGACTTACGTATACCCTTGTATACCTGGGACAAGGCTGTTTTATACCAATAAACAGCAAAATATAGTCCTTACTGATTCAATAATTAAAAGGATAAATTTTAAAAATGTTATCTGTCTCTAAATCAATGCCTCATTCTGAAATCAAGTTAATTTTCAAATGGCAACTTTCCCCAAGAGTTATAAGAAGAATCAAATTAGGGCTCCCTTGCACTTCTTCATTTTGGGAGATGAATGATTGTGGGGTGATAGTTTTCCTTAGCAGAGAGTTCAGGTTTTATTATAGCTAGTAACGTAAGTGCTACTCCGAGTATAAAAAGGATAGGAAATTAAATTTTCATTTATTCATTTTTCAACATCGACAAAGAAATCTACCTTTCTTGCTCCAAAAAGTCAGGAACGGAGAATGTTTGTCACATGACAAATTTGTCAAAACACACACAACCTGTTAACTGAGAAGTTTGTAAACAACACACATAGCACAATTTTGTAGGGCTGAAAGTGATGATAATCATTTGGGGGAAATAAAGTCAGTGAAACTATAAAAATGAATTAAAAACGACACTGAAGTGTTGTAGGAGATAAAGTCACCTTGGTATAGTGAATAATTCTAATCTATTTTAAAATATAACATGGAGTGATAAAGATTAAGATCTTTAAATTACCTAATATTGACACTGTATTTCTTTGTATAGTTAATGACAATATTTCCATCAAAATTTTCTCCTGTGCCTAAATTTGTTCCATAAGCATATTTGTATCCTTATAATTATTCCATTGGCTATCTCTAAACAAAATTTAAAAATAACTTCATTAATTTAAAGAATAAGTGTAGCTTAACAAAAGTAATATTAACCTCATTATTGCATTAGTAGTTATCTATTGCTGCATTAAATTGCCACCAACTTGGTAGCTGAATAAGCATATTTATTATCTTATATTTCTGCAGTTAGATGTTCATCATGGTTTCACTATAAAAAAGAGTCTAGGGGAGCATCCATTTCCCTTCTTTTTCCATCTTCTAGAGGCCACCTGCATTCCTAGGCTCCATTATTTCCTTCCTCCATCTTCAAAATTGGCAATGTAGCATCTCTATGACCCATCTTCTTTCTTCACATCTTTCTCTCATAGGTTAGAAAATTTTTCTTCTTTTAAGGATTATATGATTAGATTGGATCTACCTGGATAATCTATTTTAAGTTCATTAACTTTATCACATCTAAAAAATCCACTTTGTCATGTAACAACATATTCACAGGTTCCAGGGATTAGGACATGAACATATTTGGAAGGGAGGGAAGGATTATCACACCCATACCACATCTAAGATGGTCTTTTAAGTGTCACTGAAAACATGGTCACAACTGGCACTTGAGTCTAGTTGCTAGTCAAACAGCACGAAACAGTGATGTGAAAAAAATTAGACTATATTCAGCCTCTTACTCCTCAACTTCTTGTTGAAGACTGGCCAGGACATAGAGCAAAGTAAGTTAATGTCATCTTATTCTCAGCTAGATGTAAGATCCAAGGAAGAACAATGCAGAGATGGGTCCTGTACCCAATGAATAACGGATTTAAAAGTGTTAAGTAATAATCTGGTTGCAAAGAGTGGAAACATCTCAAACCAGAAGTCCAAGTAAAAAGGCCACAGTGAGAAATATTATCAACATATTGAGCAGACAAGGCCAATTCTGAAATTGACTCTCTGCTATCATATTCAGCATCTTCTGATGTGGGTGAGAACAGAATAGTACCTACAGGATGGTTGGTCAAAGTGCTTGAATCAGAGACATATAAAGAAAGATTTCAGGAACCCTGGGAGGTGTTCATTTTTTACTGTTAAATTACTTGGAAGAACTGTTAGCTGTCTTGTCTACAGATTGTTCTGTACTAGCCGAAAGAATAGAAACAGGGAGGATGAATAGAAAACTCTGGATCACAAATCACCAATGTAGCTCAAAGGAAAGAGGAACTTCATTACAGAAATGATCCAGACACAATGCCCACCTCATAAGGTACTTGACACTTTGTCACTGAAAAGACAGTATCAACTAGATGGTTGACTTTCTTAAAGATGTTACCAAAGGAACATTTAAAAACACTGGGTGAGTAAATTAAATTTAAACTTGTTTGTAATTAAATTTTTTTCTCAGATCCTCTCTCTGGGTCAAGTTCAGCTCTTTTTCATTAGGGTTTCTGAAGAGCATTGACTATCTCTCAGAACAGAGCATGAAATGAGTTTTTCCAGACATATGAAGAAGGAAACCAACCAACTACATCTCTAATGTGTACAGTATCTTCAGATTAACTGTGAAGTTATGAATTCCTATATCCTCTCATTTTGCATTTTAAGAGCCATAGGCATCAGAAAGTTTAAATAATCTGCCTAAGGTTAAACAGGTAATGGCTCTAATTCCAATGCTTTTCTCTTTTTAGAGTTCTATTTCATGACTCTTAATCAGAGTAAGGTAAGACGGTCAAATCTCAATCCCAATTCATAGAAACTCAAAAGTGGAAAGATTAAAAATTATCTCAAATCCTCTGATTTCAGAGTTGAGATTTTATAGCTACATTTCCCCAAAGTTAAACATGCATCTAAACTCATGCCTTTAGATGCACAATTAAGTGTTATTTCTATGATCTCTAGTGTCAAAACCTTTGTGCATAAAAGGGTCTTAGTAGCTGAGAGTTAGGAGCCTTGAATTATTGAAGACTATGATAACTGCTGTTCACATTGCTATATAATGTGTTTATCTCCTTTAAAAGTAATTAATATTATTTTTGGGGGTTATTTGGGAAATTTATTTTTTACCATTTGAGAAATACCCAACTGTTTTCCACAATGGGTGTACCAATTCCTTATTCCACCAGCAATGTACGATCGTTTGTTTCTCCATATCCTCGCCAAGAATTGGTATTTCCACTTTTACTGATCATAGCCATTAGCGGAAAAAAGGGAGGGCATCTTTAATTTGCATTTTCCTAATGACTAATGAAGCTGAACACCTTGGTAGTAATGCTTGTTTTACAGTTTCTTTGGTGAAATACCATTCAAATCTTTTGCCCATTTTTAATTGGATTATCTTAATGAGTTGTAAGAGTTCTAAAAAAAACTGGATATAAGCTACTTATTTTATGTAAAATTGCAAGTATTTTCTCACAGTCTATAGTTTGCCCTTTCTTTTTTTTCTTTTCCTTACTTCCTTTTTTTTCCTCCCACCCCTCCCTTCTCCTCTCCTCTCCCCTCTTCTCTTCTCTCCTTTCTTCTTCTGAGATGGAGTATCATCCTTCTCTCTCTTCTTTCTTCTTTTGAGATGGAGTATCGTCCAGGCTGGAGTACAGTGGTGCAAATCTCAGCTCACTGCAACCTCTGCCTCCCGGGCTTAAGCAATTCTTGTGCCTCAGCCTCCCAAGCAGCTAGGACTAGAGGCATACACCACCATGCCTGGCCAATTTTTGTATTTTTAGTAGAGACAGGGTTTTGTAATGTTGGCCAGGCTGGTCTCGAACTCGTGACTTCAAGCCATCCACCTACCTTTACCCCCCATAGTGCTGGGATTGCTGGCATGAGCCACTGCACACAGCTGCCTTTGAAATTTAATAGTGCTTTTGAAATTAAAATTTTTACAAAGTTAAATTTATAATTTTTTAAATTAATAATGCTTTTGGTGTCGTATCTAAGAAATCTTTGCCTAACTCAAGGTCATAAGGGTTTTTTCCCATGTTTTCATCTGGAAATTAAATGGTTATTGCATTCAGCTCTATGATACATTTTAATTTTTGTGTATGGTGTGAAGGCTTTTTAATTGTATTGGCATATGGATTTAGTTTTCCCAGCAGCAAATGTTATATCCCCTTTTCTCCATTGAAGTACCCTGTAAAAAATCTAAGTTTATATCTAAACCTTCTATTCTGTTTCACTGATCTAGCTAGCTATCCTTAAGCCAATACCACACTATCTTGACTATTGTGGCTTTATAGTACATTTAGAAATCAGGTAGTATAAATTTTCCTATTTCTTCTCTCAGAAATTACAATTTTGAAAGATAATTTCAACTTTTATTTTACATTCAGCAGGTACACATGAAGGTTACATGGATACACTGCATAATGCTGAGCTTTGGGGTGCAGCTGATCTTATCACCCAGGAGGTGACTATAGTACCCAATAGTCAAACGTTGCCATCCTCCCTCTCTCCCCTCTAGAGTAGTCCCCAGTGTCCATTGTTGCCATATTTACATCCATGAGTATCCATCCAGTGCTTAGTTTTCAGTGAGAACATGTGGTATTTAGTTTTCTGTTTCTGCATAAATTCATTTAATAATGACCTTCAGCTGCATCCACATTGCTGCAAAGGACATGATTATGTTGTTATTATGGCTGTGTAATATTCCATGGTATATATGTATCACATTTTCTTTATCCAGTCTACCATTGATGGACACCTAGGTGGATTCCATGTCTTTGCTATTGTGAATAGTGCTGCAATGAACATGTGAATACATATGTCTTTTTTGGTAGAATGATTTATTTTCTTTGGATATATACCCAGTAATGGGATTGCCGGATACAATGCCAGTTCTAAGTTCTTTGGGAAGTCCCCAAACTGCTTTCCATAGTGGCTGAACTGAATGACTTACATTCCCACTGACAGTGTATTAGAATTCCCTTTTCACAGTGGCCTCAGCAGCATGTTGTTTTCTTAACTTTTTAATACTAGCCATTCTGACTGGCATGAAATGTATCTAATTGTGGTTTTGATTTCATATCTCTGATGATTAGTGATGATGAGCATGTTTTCACATTTGTTGGTCACTTGTATGTCTTTTTTTGAGAAGTGTTTGTTCACGTCTTTTGGCCATTTTTTAAAAATATAGTTGTTAAGTTCTTTATAGATTCTGGATATTAGATCTTTGTCAGGTGCATAGTTTGTGATTATTTTCTCCAATTCTGTGGATTGTCTGTTTACTCCGTTTATCGATAAAAGTTTCTTTTGCTCTGCAGTAACTGTTTCTCACTTGTCAATTTTTGTTTTTGTTGTAATTGCTTTTGAGGACTTAGGCATAAATGTTTTCCCAAGGCCGATATCCAGAATAGTATTTTCTAGGTTTCCTTCCAGGATTCTTATAGTCTGAGACCTTACAATTAAATCTTAATCAATCTTGAGTTTCATTCTTCTGCTGATGGCTAGCCAGTTACTCCAGTACCACTTATTGACTGGGGAGTACTTTCTCCATTGCCAATTTTCATCAACTTTGTCAAAGGCCAGATGAGTCTAGTTATGCAGCTTTATTTCTGGATTCTCTATTCTGTTCCACTCTGTGAAAAAAATGACACTGGCAGCTTGATAGGAATAGCATTGAATTTATAGATACCTTGTGCAGTACATCCATTTTAATGATATTGATTCTTCAAATCCATAAGCATGGACTAATTTTCCATTTGTTTCTTTCAGTATGTATTGTAACTGACCTTTTGGAGATATTTCACCTCCTTGGTTACATGCATTCCTAGGTATTTATTGTGTGTGTGGCTATTGTAAATTGGACTGTATTCTTGATATGGCTCTCAGCTTGAATATTATTGGTGTAAAGAAATGCTACTGATTTTGGTACATTGATTTTGTATCCTGAAACTTAATCATCTTATTAAGTTCTCTAGAAAAATGTGCTGGAATTTTGCACTGAATTTACTGGCCCATTTGAGAAATACCATCTTTCAATCCAAAAACATACAATATTTCTTCATTTAGATCTTAATTTCTTGGCAATGTTTTGTCATTTTAATGTCTAGAGTTTGTTTTTCCTTTTATACTATTATAATTGAAATTTTCCTTTCAATTATAGATTGTTCATTGCTTGCATATAAAAATAGAATTGACTTTCATATATTTTTCATTCTGCAAGATTGCTAGTCATTTATTAGTTCCATAAGTTTTTGTGGAACCTATGAGAATTTTCTACCTATAAGACACTTGGTATTTTTTAACCTACTTCAAATATGTCTGTTACTTATAATGTAACTATGTCTAAGAAATATAGACAGAGAAAAGGGCATTTTAGGAGTTAGGTAGGAAAAGGAGTTTAGCGTTAACTCCTTGACATCTGACTTATGTGACAAGATAAATTTCAAAGAAATAGCCTACAGAGCATCAATCTGTGTGCAAAACTAATTAGTTCCATTTCAGATAAGTTTGAGATGCTTGCAAAGAATGGCTCAAACCCGATTTTATAACTAAAAAACATTAACACAAAACTCAACACATATTTGGTACTATAAAAATAGCCAATGCAATTCAGAATAAAAAAAGAAGTATCTTATCCAGGGGAGTAATGTATGAATACTTATTTCTTAGACAACAGTAATCACATTCAAAGTCAATATTTGCAAGATGAAGCATAACTAAAAGAAGGAGATTATGACAATAAAAAGCCATGTCAAATAGGAAACTAAAGTGTTTGAGTTACTGGAACCAAAACTTCATCAAAGTCTGTTATACATACAACTGCCTTGTGTCTATAGCTTTTGAGAAAAATCAAGAAAAAAGCCACAATACTATACTTGAATTAATTTAGAGCATGTGTGGTAAAGAGAATTTGAATGCTTGCTGGAGATGTTAAAAGAAATATACTGTATGTCTCAACACATACAGGCAGTCATGGCTACTTACCTCTACTGGTCTATTTATACACAAATTATTCAAAACTGAGAATAATTACTTTCGTCTTCTAAGGACATAGTGTAATATTTATCAGTGAATATAAAAAGTGAAACTCTTGGAGAAAAGGAAAATCCGAAGTTCATGTTCCATTTTCCTGGGGTACAAAGGATGATGACAGACAAAATTTTTATTATAGTATTATTTCTTTAGAGAAAAACAGGGTACTAATTACATCATTTTTCCTTTATAGAAAATCCACCTATAAATCCAGGGATTATATGAACATACCAAACAACCTTTGGTTCTGTTGCTCTTCTGAATCCCAATGTGATTAAAAGGTTCCTGAGGTTTCCCTAGCCACCAACTCAGGTTCTAAGTATTTAGGATGTAGTAAAGATACAATTTTAGTAAAGAGACAGCTAAAAGTAATTTTCACATAGAAAAAAATGTCTATTTATATCCCTAAAAGGCAATACAGAATTTATACCAAACCATGTATGGGAACTGTTAAATTACATTCCAAATGCCAGCAGTGGAACAAACAGAAACACAGAAATGTTTTAAAAAACATGCAGCATGTTACAGAGGGGCTGTATAATAATTCACAACTTTCGTTAGCAGCCATGTTTGATTAGTATTAAGCAGCAGTGGTTTAAGCATTTTACATCATGATAGTTACATATATGCATTTTACTGTTCCAATTATAGTTTGGTAATTTGGTTAGGGGTTTTAAGTGACACTTTAAGCATTATAATTTTCTCCTAAATTATTAACTATGGGAAATTGGCTTCGACATAAGGTTTTCACAGGAACTGATGGTTACTTTGTGAGGAAGATGTCTGGATATATGTGTGTGTGTATATATATGTACACACACACACCAATATAATATATATATATATACACTACTGGTTTCTCATTAGGCATCCAGTCACATCTTTTTCCTTGCCCTTTCCTAACACTGTTCCTAACATATGGGTACCACTCCTTAGCCCCTACAACCCCTGTGGTTTTGGAGAAAGCTGATTACACTCATGGTGACAGGCAATGGTTGGAAGGAATATGTCCCACTTTTCCCAAAAAGAAATACATCTGAATATAATTAATAGTTAACAATAGATAAGCGTGACAATTTGAGTATAAACTGCTGGTAGAAATAGGACATAATTCCACGGAAGTAAGCCATTTACATGAACCCAAGTCCCAATTCTTTAAGATGTATTAAAGACAAAATTGTTCTTGCTATTGGGAGAAAGGATTTGCACAGTTCAAGGATGCTATGCTCTAGCTCTGTATGCACTCAGCTATTATTCCTTTTCCTTTGAAAAAAATCATTTTAATAAAATCAAAAATTTTCATTCTAAAATATAGTTCAATGATTTCACTATCCTTTATGAACAAAAACAGCACTAATCCTCTAAAGGAGAAAGAAATTGAGGCTAACTGTATGTTTTGTCTAGATATTCACAGAATACTTCATATGATAATAAGAAAAATAATTTTTCAGTGAGAAGTCAAGAAACCTGTATTATATAACAGTTCAAAGTTTTTAAAATTAACATGTACAATATACCACAATATAACTTAGGTCTTGTGGTAGGGATAGGTGAAGAAAGTGGCTCAGTTTCCTTTGTGTAGAGCAAGTAGACTTGGTCGATTTAACTTATAACTTCTATTGGTACTTAATATCTGCAAATTCTAATTTAGGGCTCAACATGGGGCCTTGCCATTTAAAAACAGCTATCAACTTTAATAGCTAATAGCAATTATTTTCAGTGTATTATAGAAGGAGAAACCAAAAACGCTATAAAATTCATATTTCTAATAAAAATGTAAAGGTTTATGAACATGCATTATATAGAATTACCTCAATATTTTTACATCTGAAGTAAACCTTTTTTAAGTACAGTACCTACTGTTTCTTTTTCATACATTCATACTTGCCTTGACAATTCCAAATCTGTATAAATCTTACATCATTCTCTTTTTAAGTAGACAAGATTAACACTACTTATGAAATATGGACAAATATATTACCACTCATAACCCATCCAGCTTCTTAGTTTAACTCATCGAATTACTACAAAGATCTTTACAGAGCAGAATCTAATATAGAATCACTGCCCTCTGATGGTATCACTAATACATAATTTTAAATTCAGCAAACAATAAAAAAATCCTTTATCATAAATGTAAAACATAAAATTAGAAGAAACTTAACATCTGCCTAAGAATATTCATTACTTAGTAAGTTATAAAAATTTACAGTGCTCCTTCACATCAGCCCTTCAAATTATTTTTTCAAGATTTTCCCCGATGATCAGTTTAAAGGCACTAAGTCCGTAAGTTTAATCAAACATCTTCATACATAGTGAAATAAAAACAGATGTAAGGCGAAGCAGCATAAATATAAGTAGTTAGATCATTTTATAAAGGATGAAAATACAATTACGAATTTTAATCTTACAGGTGTATGGAAAATTTTTACATGCAATGTATGTATATTCACGATTTAGTTCCATTTTTTAACTACTAAGAAAAATAGCAAATCACCTACTAACTGCAGAAGAGCAAATGTAGGAAAATTAGTATTTAATGAAAAGTCTAGCCATTTTCTAAGCTTGAAAATCAAAGGTTTTTTTTAGCATTGCACTTAAGGGCAATAATATTACAAAGTCTGAATCTTTATTTATTCAAAGAGAAGAAATTAAATTGAGGAAGTCCACTTGATCGCAGATAAACAGTTATTGGCAGTAGACTCTTCTACTCACGTTCTGCTTTATGAAACTGTCCACTAGAAAAGACAAAAAACAGACAGAAAAGTAAATTTTACTTAGATTTACTTATATAATATATAAAATTATATTACATAATATATAATATATAATTATATATAATACTTAAATTATAACAATATTTTAGTGAATAAACAGGTAAAAAGAGGAATATGGGACATAGAACTATAAAATAATTTTTGTGAATTGTAGCTATTCATAAAATTTTATGTTATAGTCCAAGGCCTGAAATAAGATGATAGTTTAAAAGTATAAGGAAGGCAAATATCTGGTCAGATTGGTGGGTAGTTACAGGATAGCTCTCTCCCACTATCTTGCCTGTAGTTTTCAAGAATAACTGTAGAATATTCTGGTAATGTAATATCCTGGGATAGCATGTAATGGCCAGGATAGTCCAAGCTCTGTTCTAGTCCCTCCCTAAAAACAGGATGTCCTTCAATGCTTTAGCCCAAGGAGTCATGCTGTACCTCCTCCTCTAACCCCCGGACATAAAACCCAGGCACTCATCTAAGGTTCAAGCAGGGCACACACAGATGCAATCAACCCCAGACAGTTTTCTTTGGGAGACCAGCTTATGATGAATCCTAGGCTTCTATTGTCCCTTGCTGCCTATCTATAAGTAATAAACTCACTCCACATAAAAGTTTTTGGGTTTGTTTTTGTTTTTTTGTTTGCTTGAGATAGGGTCTTGCTCTATCACCCAGGCTGGGGTGAGCTGGGAATGGCTCACTGCAGCCTCAACCTCCAAGGCTCATGTCATTCTCCCACCTCAGCCTCCTGAGTAGTAGGACCACAGGCACAGGTCACCACACCTAATTTATTTTTAATTTTAGAGATAGGGTCTCACTATGTTGTCTAGGGTGGTCTCTTAACTCCTGGCCTCAAGTCATCATCCCACCTCAGCCTCCCAAATCCTCCCCCTCTCAGTTGAGATTACAGGTATGAGGGACTGTGATTGGGCTCTTCAAGTAAATGTTACATGCATGGGTATTCTGTCCACTGGACTCTGAAGTTGTTAACCACTGCACAGTGAACCTGCTCTTCAGTAGCAAGATACCAAATATCCAATAATCAGTAAAGGAACACAAAATAAACCACCATAAAACAAAAATTTAAAAATTCTTATTTTATCCAGGGAGTCAAGTGGCAGAAGCCATTAAATAATGGTTTGGCAAGGTCTTTTCATTGCTTGAGTTGAGAAAATATTCCATCTGATGTTTTGTTTAACCAAGTCTATTAAATCTATGATAGGTTCTAAAGAGCCATTGGGATACAACAAGAGATGTTTGGCAATCTCTTGATAGTTTTTTCCAAGCACATCCAAGGAATATTACTGGGTGTTTTATATATATAGGTGTGTGTGTATATGTATATATATACATAAACACATATGTACGGGTGTGTATAAATACATATATATAATCTATGTTTAAATAAATTTTCAAAATTAAAGATTAATCCAAGTAAACTTGCTCTTCCTTATTGCATGACTTGTTAGAGGCCATAATTTTGTGCCATTTTTAATCTCTAAGAAGGGGATAGCCTACAATATACAATTTAGCATTTTTAAACATTTTTTTCCCATGGAACTCTAATGGCTAAACCTCACTCTCAGAGACACTGACTGATGTGAGGTGGAGCCCAATGGTCAATTCTTTTTGAAAGCTGCCTATGAGACTCCTACATGCAGCTAAGGTTGAAGTCACTGTACTAGAGGTCTACCCTTACTCCTGTGCTGCTATCTCCTGTATTGATAGTACTTTGCATCTTGATGCTGTCATCACATTGACTTCTGCAGGTAAGGGTCTTTTTGCAGAAGACAGTGAGCATTACCCATGCTAATTACCCTGGAAAGATGCAGCGCTGGTCAGGAGATGAATATGTGCACGGCGTGAAGACAGGGAATACAAACTAGATTTATACTGTGAAGTTAGGTTAGGAAGACTCTACCTACTCTATAGGATACTTCAGGCCAGCCCATGGAACAAGCCAGACAGGAGCCCTTAAAGGACCATAGGCCAAGAGTTTTGAGGGTTAAGTACCTTCTGTCTTATATTTTTCCCTTCTGTTATCCCTGAGCCTCCCAGGATTTTGCTTTTAACTTCATGCTCTTGACATGCTGTGCTTGTGTCAAGCAGAATAAAGCATGCCCCTTGAAGCCAATGTGTTAGTGGTAGGTGATGAGGAATATTCCAAGGGAAAAATCTAACAGTGGGCAACAGCAGTGGCTAATGACAGTGAGCCACTGGAGAAAATCCTCCTGCTACTACCTAGTTTCATGGTCCTGCGGGTCATTTTTACTAAGGGTTCTTGAGAGATTTCCTACAAGAACAGTACACAAAGAAAAAGAGGAACTAAATTTAACATTGGGAATGTTTTACATTTTGAGCACTTTTGAAGGGATCATAACTAATACAAGGCCTGTTTTTTAATGTACAGATGTCAAAGTGTGGAAGCTTCAAGTTTAATTAAGAAAGCCTCTTTCTTTCTTATAATTTAAAAGCTGATGTTAATTTCATTAGAACTTGTGAAATAAGTGTCTTCTTAATTATGATTAAGTGTTGATTAAAGTATCCTTTTCCTATAACAATACATATAACTTTAACGTAATACCTTCACCACTTCTACTGTGAAATAGTGGATCTCAACATTATTTCTAGTCCTACAATTTAATTTTCATGTGGTGTTTCTGAGAACCCTGTATGAAGTAAACCTAGTAACACAGCACTTTACCTCAACAGAATATTGAAAGAAAGAATCTATATTTCTGATAAAGAATTGACCTTGTTGTCACCCAGCTGTTTTACTTTACACTAGATCTACTCTCTTATAGAAGCATAAAAGGCAAAATGGTCAGACTTATTTACCTTATATTGAAACTACTTTATACATCACTAAAAATTCACCCCATAAAAAACAAACTTTATAAAAAATTTTTCATTCATTAAATATTAGATGAAGTAATTTACAATATTAAAATACACAGACACATACTCTTATTTTTATGATATTCTTGAGCCAGAATCAACTGCTCAGGGTGTTGATAAGCTGCCTGCCCCACACGTTAGAAGAGTATCTACATGTAAGCATGTATATGTGTATATGTACACGTATGTGTGTGTGTGTGTGTGTGTGTGTTTTGAGAGCAAAACCAATTAATCTGTTGAAAAGCACTCATAAATCACTGACAAATATAAATGACTGAAATTAAAGACATTCTCCCTTTAACAAACATATTTACTTCCATTTACTTTAAAAATGGACCAAGAATAAAATCTTAACATATGAACCACTGTTGTCCTGAGCTTTAAAAGATTTTTAAAATAAATCCTTTAAAGTCCTGCTAGACTGTAAAGACTCCAGCATTCAGAGACTCTGCTTAACTTGTCCACCAGTCTAGCTCTGGTATCCATATCTTGGGAGGTATGTGCATGATACCCACACCTGTATACCTTCTGTGATCCCAATTAACATTTACAGAACTATAGAAAAGGGAGGCAATGGAAAGATCAAATACTCCAAATCAATAGGTAAAAGAACTCAGGTCATAAAACAGAATTTATAGTGTAATCCAATTTAATAACATGTAAATGGAGGTTAGAAATTATGTCTTTTAAAATGATACTTAATTTGGATAACTTTTACACTTCTTTATGTGTTTCCATACTTCCTGAATTTTTGACTTATTTAAGATTAGTAGTAAGCCTAAGAGCATTAAAATATAGTGTTATAATAAGAAACAAATTATTATTTCACTTTGCGGAAGAAAAGCCAATCAATTCCAATAAATGTTAAAATAAATTGATATTACTTCCAATATTTACTATTCATGCTTTTAAATAATTTCAAAATATTCTGATAATGAGCGTCAGGAGAAAATTATTCAATGGATAGCTACTTAAGTTTTTTAAAATGCCCAGTTAAGTTCAACATTAAGTAAATTTTAATACTTACCCTAAGTCCACCTTCTGGTGGGGGCCCAGATGTAGCAATTTGTTTTTCCATTTTTTCCTTTTTCTTTCTCTTTTCTTGCACAGATTGAACATCCAAAATTCCCCGAGATGCAGCCTTTAAAAAATTGATAAGAAATAAAGAAAGAAAACAACAATCTGTCCAATGTGCAAAACATTTTTTTGTCTGTCTTTGCTTTCTAGGTTTCTCTTTGGGGGCAGGGAGTTGGTTTATTTTTGGTAACACAGAAGGAGTATTTCTACAACAGCCTTAACATAACACATCATTTCTTCATTGGGTATTTTGCAACTATACAAATTTTCTCCTAAACTTGCTTCACATCTTATTTTACAATGCACAGCCATTTTAAAAGGATGTTACTAAAAGAGCATCTACATTTAGAGAAGATATGATAGTTTTCATATATTAAATAATATAAATATATTAATGCAATTTATATAAACATGAAAATCATTTTGAAAACAATTATCTTCAAATGTAAATTTTTGGGATCTCAAAGGCCATTTGCATTAGAGAATCTAGCTATGGACATCTATGAAAAATAAAGTAGAAAATTATTTAAGTGGGCAAAATTTACCTCTTTTTGTCTTCTCTCTGCAGCCTCTGCAAGCTTTGCTCTTTTCTCTTCCTAAGGAAAATGTGTAAAAATATGTATTAAAATAATAAAAAACATTATTATGAATAAATTATACATCTATATTTCATAGGCACTGTAACAGTTTACAAAAATATTCAGTACTGGCCCTAAATGTCCCACAAAGAATGCTGCTACTCAACTTCCCGAATTTCATTCTTCTTGAATATACCTTCAAATCAGCACATGTTAAAATGAACACAAGGTTTCCCTGAATAATCATTTATTTTTTTCTCTCTCTCTTTTAATAAAAGGGTCTACAGCTAGTCAGGGCAATAATAAAACAAACAATGTTTAAAAATCCAAGAAGGAAAATACATGGTTTGGTACTGCCTGTAAAAATGGAGTCTGAAGTAATCTAGTGTTTTTAGAGGAGGTTAATGAATAAAGTGGGCTAATCTCAGTGTGTAGGAGGGAAGGATGGGAGTAATTTCATGAGAGGTATTGCTCCATAACAGAAAACAGTGAATATTATTTTTCTAGACCATGTACTACTTATTAACACTTTTTCTAGGTGATGGGGATACAGCAGTGAAAAAACATAGATAAATATCTCCTCCCAAACGAAACAATTTCCAATTGAGGGCACACGGACAAATATAATGAAGTTAATAAATGTCTGTCAGATGATATGGCAGATAAGTAATGGGAGAATGGGTGGGTGGTATTGTGGGGAATATATTTAATTTAGCGTGGTCAGGAAAAGCTTCTCTGATAAAGTGACATCCAAGCAGTGAGTTGTGTGATTATCAAGCGAAAAGGGTATATAGCATGAGGATGGGAGAAGGGTTTAACAAATCTGACACATTGTATTTTCTCAACAGCCACAACAACAAAATCAACATCACTTAAAACAACAGCAGCAACAGAGAAGCTGAACTTTCCCACATAAAATTTATGCTAAATTTTTAGTAGGTATACTTTAATAAGTTGAGTTAATGTACTTCCCTAAATATTTCCTTTTCTTCAACTAATTTTTAGCTAGAGGTGAGAGAGAAACAGGTTTATGTAAACTCCGCGTAAGGAGTACCAATGTAAAGATACTGTTAACAGAAAGCGTGTGTACCACACGCCCACAGGCTACTTTTGAATTTCAGATAAGCAATGAGTAATGTTTTTGTAGAACTAGATACCTACTATTGCATGGCACAAAACGGTATTATAAATGTATTCCTTGTATAACTGAAATTCAAATTTAACTGGGTGTCCAGTATTTTTGTTCAATATGACTACCTTACAAATTGGACACTCTATACTACATAAAATATTATTTTAAAGGGAGAACTTAAAAGAATGAGAATAAATACTACAAAGAAATCATTAATAAAATATCTGATAAAGCTCAGGCGTATAAGCGACTTTCTGGGCACCTTCTTTTAAAAGGTTGGTAGACAGGTGAAAATGCACATCTCCTAGACGACTAAACAGCTCCCAGAAAAAGCAACGTCTTTTTTGCGCCTAACTCCATCTACCACATCTCCCAGAATATCCCACGCGCTGCGCCCTCTGCGTGCGCCGGCGCCCTACGAATTCCCGGGGCCGGCAGTCAGCCGAAGGTAGAAAGACGCCACAGCCGCCTTTGGAAAATTTTTTTGTTACAAAAGTGCAGCTCCACCCGTAGGCGGCGGTCTAGGTCGCACTGACAGGACCCAACGACCCTCGGGACGCGTCCACCCGTCTTCGCCACCAGGGTCCCCCCCACCCCCCGGCTGCGAGCTCTCGACCTGCGCCACCAGGTCCAACAGCCCGGCCCGCCCCGCAGCCCGCCGCCCGAGGACAGGTGCTCTAGGCGCGGACCGGCGGACGCGGGGACCTGCTCTACTCACAAGGTCAGGAGTGGGAGGCGCGGACTCCCCCGGACAAGGAAAACACAGCCCCATAGGGACGACCAACTGGGGGACCCCTAACGGGTCCGCCCCAGGCCAGGCGGCGCTAACTGCGCGGTACAGTGCGCGTCCCTGGTCTTCCGCGCTTGCCCCGCCCCCACCGCCGTCCAGTGGCTCGGCTCCGCCCCTGCGGCAACGCCCCACCCCCACCCCCCCCCCCCCCCCCACCGCCGTCCAGTGGCTCGGCTCCGCCCCTGCGGCAACGCCCCACCCCCACCCCCGCAGCTCCGCCCCGCCCCGCCCCGCCTCTGTGGCCCCGCCCCGCTCTTCTCGCGACTCCACCCCGTCCCCGCAGCTCAGCTGCTCCCACCTAAGGCATTGCCCAGTCCCCCACCCACAGCTCCTCCTAGCCCCGCACCGCGAGAGCCGGGCCTGTGGCCAAAGGCTAGGTTTCGGGGAAACACCTGCTGCAGGCAGCAATGCAGGGAAAGGATGGAAAAGTTTGCCTGTGGTTCCAAAGCTCTTCTTGCTAAGCTCGCCTTACCAATTACAAATGAGTGATAGTTCGTGCTACCTTTTTATGAGATGGGACCCTGATGTACTAGAAATTAAAGCCAAAATTCCAAGTTAACATCAGCACCGTTTGCTGCCTTTTTAATGACAATGCCATTCCAGTTGAGAGGGCAGAATATGAAATCCATTATTATGACTATGAATCTTGCCTCATAAATGTGGCATTAGTTGAGATTTTCACTAGTTTCTGGTATTTAGGAACCATACCTTGAAGAGTAATAATAAAGTTTCATTTACTGGGAAATATTTTAGTGAAATTTTTCTCAAATTTTAGTAAGTATGAGAATCACCTGGGCACCTAGTTAAAATTTAGCTGCTGATTTAGTAAGTATAAGGTGAGGCCTGAGATTTATTTCCAGTAAACCCATAGATGATACTGAAGTTACGTATCTCCTTTCCACACAATGCTTTGATTTTTTTTATTTTTATTTTTTTGCATTCTATTAGTTATTTCTGCTTCTTTGAAAATTTTCAAACATAACGAAAATGTAGGATGTATACTGATAGTATCTCAGAAACCATTCTCAGCTTTTTGATGTATATTCTTACTGGTTTTTTTATAGATATATAATTTAAATATAGTATGCACCTATTTTGATTATAGAGTTCACTGAGTTTTAAAAAACATTAATTCATGTGATCACCACATTCAAGATATGTAAGTTTTCCATCACCCAAAAAACTTCTGTTGTACCCAGTTCCATTCAATACTCTATCCCATAACTAGATCCAGGAAATGATTAATTTGTTTAATATCACTATAGTCTTTAAGTTTTACATAAATATTAATATCACTATAGTCTTTAAGTTTTACATAAATGAAATATGCAATCTATGTTTTGCATATATTGTCAACTGCGTGGTCCACTGCAGTCCAAAAATATGAAATGGAAAATTCCAGAAATAATTCATAAATTATAAATTACATGCCTTCTAAGGATCTGGTGAAATCTTAGGCTGTGGTAATCCATTACACCCAGGATGTTAATGATGTGAATCATCCCTTTGTCCAGCATATCCAGTGTCTAAGCTACCCGCCCATTAGTCACTTAGTGGCTATCTCAGTTGTCACTTTAACTGTTCCAGTATTATGGTGCTTGTGTTCAAGTAACTCTTGTTTTATTTATTAATGGACCCAAGTGCAAGAGTAGTGATGATGGCATATTGTTATATTGTTTTATTTTATTATTAGTTATTGTTGTTAATCTCTTATTGCATCTAACTTTAAACTTTATCATAGGTATAGTTATCTAGGTTCTATACGTAATAGATGATATCATAGGCATCAGAGATGATACATAAAAGGCATCATCTATTACGTATAGAAAAAAAGTGCAGAAACAGTCACTGACCAAGATGGCCTTAATGCTTCCCATTGCCTGACTAACCTTTAGACAGGGTTCTTTCTGATTGTTGGCCTCTGACCTCTCTATTTTTAGACCATTTTCTTTAGAAAACTTGCAAATTGTAAATTTTTTCTGCTTTTTTAAGATGTAAATCTTCTGTCCTCTTATCAATACTAGAATGCAGAACCATCTTTCTCAATAACCTGGGTGCCATCTCTTTGAAATGCAATAATTAAGAAACTAGAACCTTTCCTTATCTCCTACTCTGACTTCCCTAAGCACCAATCAGCAAACACAGATGGTACAACCATATTGACTAACATACAGTGCTTTTCCACTTAGTGACCTCTGTGCTTAAAATCACTCCTGCTTTTTTTTCAGTGACATTGAGCCCTCTCTTTTGGTGCTCTATTACAGTAGTCTTAAATAAAGTCTTTTGTTCCTGTTTAACTCTGTCAGATGCAAATTGTCTTCGATATTAGTTGAGTTTTTGACAGTTATATGTGCCCATGTAAACACTCTAAGAAAGTATATACAACATTTTCATTACCCTAAAAGGTTACCTTGTGCCACTTTCCAAATAACCCCCATTGACCTCTAGCCCGAGATAAATATTGATTTGCTTTCTGTCTCTATTAACTGCATTTTCTAGAATTTCATAGAAATTGAATTATATCATAAATTCTTCTTTTGTCTGTGTCTGCTCTTTCTACATAAAGTTTCTGAAATTCATCAGTGATATTGTGTGTTTCTTAAGTAATATTCCATTGTTATAGGTATGCTGCATTTAAAAAGATAATTTGCCAGGGGGCACAGTGGCTTGTGCCTAGAGGTAGAATCACTCGAGCCCAGCAGGTTGAGACCAGCCTGGGCAACATAGGGAGACCCCATCTCTCCAAAAATTAACTGGGTATTGTGGTGTGTGCCTGTGGTCCCAGAGACTGGGGAGGCTGAGGTAGGAGAGTTACATGAGCCCAATGAAGTCAAGGCTGGAGTGAACTGTGATTGCACCATTGCACTCCCACCTGGGCAACAGGGCGAGACCCCCATCTCGAAACAAACAATGACAACAACTCCCCCAAACTCCCAAAAGTTAATTTACCTATCCATGGATTTATGGGCTCTTTTGAGCCTTTTCAGGCCATTGGGAACAAAGCTCCATGAATATTTGTGTGCAGTTACTTGTATGAAATTTTTTCATGTCTCTTGACTACCTAAAAATGGGATAACTGAGTTATATTTTACATGTGTGGAAATGAGGACTAAATTCTGATTTTTTTATCTTGCCCAAATTCCTGTTTAAGGGTTCTGGGAAGTCATGTTCTACAAATCATAAATTCCCATCAGATGGATTTTATTTAACCCTGTATATCATGATTTATGTTCCAACCTAACTCTGGCATAATATTAGGAGACAAGAAAATTAAAATACGTTATCCCAAAACATGTCTTTGCCATATTTTGAAATGGCCCTCTAAACCTTTTCTTTGTGGGGGAAAATTTGTATCTGTAAAGAATCCCTATTAACATAGCTAGATCTTTTTCTTCCAGACCCTCCCAATCCTAAAGAGATTAACTAAGATCTATATAGGAAACATTTCCCACCTGTTGTCTCCAAGGGCGGCCACTATAAGACTTCAAAAAAACTTTGGTCTCCACAATCTTTATCTTAACCTGAACATTCCCTTTCTGTCTACTCCAGGTCTTTAGACAAACTCAACAAATTATCAACCACAAAATGTTTAAATTTACCTATGGCCTGGAAGCTCCTGCTTTGAGTTGTTCTGAATTTCTGGACTAAACAAATGTATTTCTTAAATGTATTTGATTGATGTCTCATGCCTCTCTAAAATGTATGAAACTAAGCTGCGCACGAAGGACCTTGGGTACATGTTCTAAGGGCTGTGTCATGAGCTATCATCACTCATATTTGGCTCAGAATAAATCTCTTCAAATATTTTACAGAGTTCAACTCTTCGCATGGACAATAATATGGCGCCCAAACATGTAGGGCCTCAGAGAAGACTCAGGTTGCTGAAGGAGTATCTGGAAATCAGAGCTAATCAGTACCAGCTGGGGCCTCAGAGAAGATTCAAGTTGCAGAAGGAGTATCTGGAAATCAGAGCTAATCAGTACCAGCTGGGGCCTCAGAGAAGATTCAAGTTGCAGAAGGAGTATCTGGAAATCAGAGCTAATCAGTACCAGCTGGGGCCTCAGAGAAGATTCAAGTTGCAGAAGGAGTATCTGGAAATCAGAGCTAAGGTACCACCAGCTGGAGCCCACTGAAGCCTCACCGAGTTTGAGCTTCTCCTCCTGAGGAACTGGTAAGTCCCCCTGAGCCTTCTACCTCCTGTTTTGGTTGATGTTCCTTGATTTGTTCTGGACTGGTTTTTCTCCTAGGAATTTGTTGCTTAAGGATGCCAGCTTGAGTTCAGAGATGCGTTTCTTTCTTTTCTTTTTTTTTTTTTTTTTCCAAGATGCAGTCTTACTCTGTTGCTCAGGCTAGAGTGCAATGACATGATCTGGGCTCACTGCAACTCTGCCTCCTGGGTTCAAGTGATTCTCCTGCCTCAGCCTCCCGAGTGCCTGGGATTACAGGCACCTGCCCCCACACTCAGCTAATTTTTGTACATTTAGTAATAATGGGGTTTCACCATGTTGGCCAGGCTGGTCTCGAACTCCTGACCTTGTGATCTGCCTGCCTCGGCCTACCAAAGTGTCGGGATTACAGGTGTGAGCCATCATGCCTGGCCTGGAGATCCATTTCTAAAGGCACTCCTCAATTGCTTTTCTCTCAGAATTAATCTTAATTTGGCTTGTCTGTGCACATTTGCATGAAGAACCGAACTGTCATTTACATCTACAGCTCATCAGTTCCTCCTTTAAAAAAAAAGTAGGAAAAAAATTAAGAATATGGAGAAAACAAGGAGAATAACCCCCTTTTGAGCACTCTGTAGGTTTTATGGCACCTCTACTTTCCAGAGTGTATGTAAAATGGAACTAATATAGTCTTTGTGCACATTTACATTAAGGAAAAAGAGCCAGAAGGTGACCCACAAACTGTAGAGTTCCTAAATTCTATTTCTCTGTTTTCTTTTCTGCCTGCCTTAAATCTAGTGTTACTTTCATATTGAGATTAAAAAAAAACAGTTTGGATCTAGCTACTTTTTTGCAAGCCAGCGAATTTATATTCATCTCATGGCCAAAGTACTAAAGTAAACCTATAGAATCTTTGTATGTGTATGTGTATGTATGTATATATGTGTGTA